ATGAAGGGATTGCTTTCTATAACAATCTCATTAATGCTCTTCTTGAAAAGGGTATGAATCAATCTACTTCTAGTTGATTTTCTTCTTGCTGCAATAACAATATGAATTAAAGAACTTTGCCAGTGCAGGTATTCAACCCTTTGTAACTTTATACCACTGGGATCTTCCTTTGCATCTTTATGAATCAATGGGAGGGTGGTTAAATAAGGAAATTGTGTAAGTATGCTTGTATTGTCTGCATAAATTTCAATATTGAGTATTATGTTTCTTGTCTCTTTATATTTCATTTGTCGCTGTTAAACTGAGCTGTATTTGGTTCAAACACTGATAAACATACAGGTTTATCAACATGGATTATTCTCTCTACCAGTTTAGCATGTCCAGCTTATTTTTATAACACTCCTGAGCTCCCTTTTATTATTTTCAAACTTGTAGATGTCACAGTTGAGCATGTTACCATCTATATCTTGGATATAGTACATTCACCAATTTAATGAAGATTGTATGGGGGAATAAATATGTTCTGAATGCATAGGGACAGTGTCCATCATCTATTTAATTTCTACAATTTATGGAGGTGCAGGGATCTGAAAACCCACTTGCATTTGATTCTTATCAATCACAAAAAACATTGAAACATCACTGTATTTTCAATGAAACTCACTCTTGCATTTTACTTTGAAGATTAATTACATCTTTGCAGCATCCATGTCTTTACATCTAATAATTTATCTTGAGAAAAAAATCTTACTATACCTTTTCATTTTATCTCCTTCTTACTTTCTGCTAGAATCTAATAAATTTTATGGGGTTACAGTCTAATTTGTATATTAATGAGTGGCATGGCTTCCTTTTGTCCAGGAAATACTTTGGAATCTATGCCAATACTTGCTTTGCAAATTTTGGTGATAGAGTAAAAAATTGGATCACAATCAATGAACCTAAGGAAACTGCGATAAATGGGTATGATACTGGGATACATGCTCCTGGAAGACGTGAAGGTTCAGCAACAGAACCATATTTGGCAGCACACCATCAGATTTTGGCTCATGCAAAAGCTGTTTCAATATACAAGAGCAAGTACAAGGTACATGTTTGAATGTTCATATTTTGTTTTTCTGCACTAAAAAGATACTCTTATCTGAATAATCTGAAGAGAAAATCGATTGGTTTTTCTCTATCCCTTTGTTCAAGGAAAAGCAAGGGGGACAGATAGGATTGGTGGTGGATTGTGAATGGGCAGAGGCTAATTCTGACAAAAGTGAAGATAAACTTGCTGCAGCAAGGCGCCTTGATTTTCAGCTGGGATGGTAGTTTTTTAAACTCAATTAATCTCCTTTCTTTCTGGATGTCAAGTTAGACATTTTTATATTGGCTGTATGCAAATAGACTTGTAATATAGAGATTTTATTTAAATACACTGTCTCTTCACTACTTTCCCAATCGTAGACCTATACCATGTGTGAATCCCCTCAGCAAGTGTTGGACTTTTTTTTTTTTTTTTTTAAACAATAAATGGGTGAGATGAGAAAGCTAAATTTTTTTATGGTTATTGCAACTTTATGATAATTTATTTATATAATTAAATCATATTTTTCGTTAAGGAATTTCTTATGACTTCCAATTTTCATGTATCTATTATCATTTTTGTCACAGGTACTTACATCCTCTCTATTATGGAGACTACCCTCAAGTTATGCGTGAAAAACTTGGAAACCGACTTCCCAAGTTCTCAGAAGAAGACAAAGAGTTGCTTAGGAGCACTATGGACTTTGTTGGCCTGAATCATTATACATCAAGGTTTATTGCTCATGCAACAGATGGTCCTGAAGACGGATTTTTCTATAAAGATCAAGAGATTGAAAGAATTGGTAATGATACATATGAAAATTTTTTGCTTACCATTTATAAATTTCACTTGGAAAACTAAATTTTACCGTTCATTATCAGCTCAATGGGAAGGGGGTGAGATGATTGGCGAGAAGGTATGAATTATGTCTCTGTTGTCCTTGTGCATGTGTAGTTATGCATAGACTAGGGCTTTGGAAGATCCAGATCTTCCAGTCTACTAAGAGATATATGAATGGCAGGCAGCTTCGGAGTGGCTCTATGTTGTGCCCTGGGGCATACGGAAGGTTTTGAATTACATAGCTCAGACATATA